GAGGATGATGGTGGTGATGCACCTCCACATCTAATGGTTTTCCAGCAGGAATAATATGTTTCTTTGGAGGATAATGAGGATGATGGTTGTGATGCACCTTCACATCTAGTGGTTTTCCAGCAGGAGTAATATGTTTCTTTGGAGGATAATGAGGATGATGATGGAAATGTTCTACTTCATGAAGGTGGGAGTGCTCTTCTTCGTGATGTAACCCATGATGTTCCTCTTCGTGATGTAACCCATGATGTTCCTCTTTGTGATGTAATTCATGATGTAACGCATGATGCGTGGTAGTAGTGACTTTCTTTGTGGTAGTATGATGACATTTAGTGGAAGTGGTAGTATGTTTCTTGGTAGAGGTATGTTTCTTGGTAGAGGTATGTTTTGTAGAGGTATGTTTCTTGGTAGAGGTATGTTTCTTGGTAGAGGTATGTTTGGTAGAGGTATGTTTCTTGGTAGAGGTATGTTTGATAGAACTATGTTTGGTAGAGCTAGGTTTATGGGTAGTCCTATGGGTAGTCAAATGCTTGGTTGAGCTAGGTTTATGGGTAGGTCTATGTGTTGTAGAATGCTTGATAGAACTGATTTTATGTGTAGTCGAATGGATAGGTGCATGAGTAGTGGGAGGTCTACGTAGAGGGGTAGTTCTCTTTGTAGTGTGATGTGCAAGAGTAGGAGCATGAGTAGGAGCATGAGTAGGGGCATGTGTAGGGGCATGAGCAGGGGCATGTGTAGGGGCATGTGTAGGAGCATGTTGTGGAGGATATCCACCAGAACGTTGTGCAGAGGCATTCGCTATTAATAGCAAAAGAGCCACTGATAATGATTGAAACCTCATTTTCGAAAGTTTCGTAAATGAAGAAAGCGGAATTAATGATAGTATGTGAACTTGAAAGGTTTACGAATTAAGGACAGAAGAATAAAAGTAAAATTGTGAAGGTTTTTATAGTAAAAATTTGAATATTTTTGTAAATTAGATAATATATACAATAGTAATTAAAAAAGGACTAATTGAGAAATGTGTAATTTTTAAGATAACATTATTTATATTACTGTTTTTTTCTTAATCATAAAAAATTATGAACGCGTGTGAGCACATATTTTTTACGAGGAATAATTATTTTGGAAATAATTTGCACAAATTATTTATGTTTACGCATGCTCGTGCGTACAATTAAGTATATTCCAAAGTCAATTCCAATGGTGTAACATTAAATAAAATATACTACAAAGATATAGTGTAGTGAAGGTGCATTTCAGTCTATATGTGGCACGAAGAATTTTAGGACCTGTTGTCTTCGTCAAAACTGTAGCATTTAGCTATTCAATTTATTTCAATTTATATTATTTATTATATATCAAATGAGTATCTGGTGCTGCTGCTTAGTTTTTATAGTTGTTATATTGCTGCATACGTGAGGTATGTACGTGAAAGAAGTTGTAATATGAATTTGTTGGCTGCATATGCACTAATATGAAGAATGATCGATCAGAATTTTATGCATGATAGATTATGCTTGAATTACATATAATGTCTTTAGCGTTATTATAATAGATTAACTAAATAAGTTATTTTATTAAGAAGCTTACATTACGTAACTTTGGTATTAATATAAAAAAATTATCTAGATAAACTAGACAATGTAATTGATATGAAATTAATTTTAACTAAGTTATGTTGAAGCGTATGATTTATTTGTACATTAAGTTATGTAAGAATATTATGGTAATTAGAGGATAAAGGTCCAGAATGTATAAAGTTTTTCAATGACCTATGTTCTAAGAGTTTTCGACCATATAATAAGTAGCATAGTAATAACGATGTATCTCTTCTTGCTAATTCCTAATTGACGTTATCTTGTGTCCCGTCATATTAAATACGAGATATTATAAACTTCGAACCAGAGCTACGGCTGGTGCTAGCTTGCACATTAATCTTAGTTCTTCCTTAAGCAGTTGTAACACTAGCATTATTACACGACAAATATTTATTATTCATTTAAAAGATTCCTGTATTTAAAGAATACCATAAAGAACTTGATTTATTCAATAAAAAAAAGACTTCAAATGGAGGTAGGCTTATTAAAAATGAAAATTTATTTCTAAATTATATATAGTTCTACTTATTCATTGCTTCTTACTACTTACTATGTACGTACATACTTGTCTGCCGAATAAATTCTAACTAGCCTTTGGATAGGCGCTCTAGCATGAATGTCGGTGATCTTGATGTAACAGTAGTATGCAGTAATGTTATGACGAAAAAGAAAATTCACCAGTTATAGTTACACAAATACTATTAAATAATTTTACCGGGGAAAATGGAATTCTTTAATAAAAAACATCACTTTGAGATAATTACTAGTTTGTGTACATGTGATACATTGTGGAAATTACATTACAATTTTGATTTTTTTATTATTTCTTTCTGGAAACTTTATCTATACTACTATTTCGCAATTACACAAATATTTATTTTTTTATTATTAATTACTGTTGAACCTCTCAAAACCAATGTGCATGGTGGACAGATTTTGTATTAGTATTAAAAGATTATCAGATTTAAAAATATTGGTTTGATTTAGCTGATAAGACTTTTGTAAATAACAGAATCTTAGCTTTAAATGGTTTAACAGTAATTAGTATTTAACGAAAGTAAATTACCTGTTTACATGCGTATCAGTTATCTATACGATCAGGATTCTTAGCGATTTACAATCTTTTATATAGCAAGCCATAATAACTAATGAGCATACTCACATAAATTTGATAATATACGATATATTTAAAGTCTGATTAATACGTGAATGTTGAAGGCAATATTTGAGATTTCATTATTTTCTAGTATCTGGAATAGTAATGATTAATAATATATTTAGCCAATTATCTTTTGTAATTAAGAGAAAATTTTAATAAATTGAATAAAAAAATCCGAGAAATTTCTGGACAAACATCAAGTTTTATTTATGAGTACATTAACATTGTTTTGTTGAAAAAGAACTTTAAAAGTGCCAAGCCATAAATTTTTTTATGAACGACATGAAATCGATCGAAATTAATAAATTTTATGCGCCAAGCCTTAAACCTTCTTTTTTATGACCTACATGTAATCAATCAAAAATTCATCATAACTTTACATAATATGTATACGATATTGAGGTACAAAAAACTAAATGATTTCCTTTTTTGAGAAAAGTTGTACATATCTTTATATATTGGGATTGGACTAATTATGCAACCTAGTTTTTAGATAAAAATGGAAGTGTAGTAGTTCACAAGAACAACAAAAGCGCATGTTTATAAATAAAATATAAATATTATTGATTTTAATAATTGAATTGGGCATCGATTTATTAGTACAAATAGATTTGGATGGACCTGAAAAAAATAAACAATTTTCCATAATATGAAAAATATTAATTTCAAATATCCAGTAAACAAAATATCAACTACTCTAACACAATAATCAAAATTATCTATGTAATATTCATTTTTAAAAAAATTGAATACGCATATATGTAGATACAATTTTTTTTCATCTTTTCATGTGGACTTTATTATATATCAGGTTAACCTGTTTACACCAAATTAAAGTTCCTTAATAATAAGTTATACATTATTGGCTCATTTCAATTGCTTGATACATAAATTTCGCACACCTCCGATATCATATATTGGAAGCTGGCCTACCGAATAATTGATTTGAGGGTAATTAATTGCAATTTGTTTGAACTTAATTAATTGATTGATGGCGCAGTCACAATGTTACGACTTTGAATGTGATAAATTTTTTATGTGACGAATAAAGATTCACTAATACAATGTTACGACTTTGAATGTGATAAATTTTTTATGTGACGAATAAAGATTCACTAATATGATTAATTAGTAAATCATTATTTGTCACATAAAACGATTCATCACAACTATGCGGCAAATTAATTGCAATTATTTCATTAATTGGGTTACAATAAATTTCAATTGACTTTAATTGTATAACGTATGACAAATTAATTTCAAAGAATTTTCGGTAGGCTTGATTGGAAATGACCAAATAGCATGCTATACCGGGAACGAGATAAATAATAATGTAATGTAAGGCATGTAAATGTTATTCAATAACAAGGGAACGAAAAAATTACGCAGAAACCGACGACAATATCATCATTTTAAACAGTTTTTTTGACTGACCAAAATTTTAGACATCTGCTTCTGATTTGTATGTCGGGGTTTTTGTCGGTCGATGAAATAATAATCACAGATCATTAAATGCGAGGAAATTTGGTAAATTTATCTGATGCATCTCAGAGTCAAAACACGACTTCAATTCAAATCTTTTGTGCAACATATGCATCCGTTATTGGTTTAGTACAACTGTTGCATGACTAATTAATTTTAATTTACAACCATTAATTATCGGTATTATCGGAGTAAAGTAAGAGGGATTTTCAAAATGGTCTAACCATACGCACGTGTCTCACCCACATATGATTATGTAATGAATTTGTATCTAATGCTAATTAATTTGTGTCAATGTAATCAACATTAAACGTGACAATTCATTTACGTATTGAGATCACGGATAAAATATCAACAATTTAATCCTTTCAAATCCTTTCATTTTTATCAATTTGGTCGATAATTATTTCGTGAACGTATTAATCAAAATTAATCAAAATTATGATAATTTAAATTTGATTTTACTTGTAATTATATAACTAATATCCTTTATACAATTCGGAAATTCGGAAATTAAATCCACGTTTCAAATAACTTCAAATTTCTTCTTGATTTAGTAAAATGATGGCATTTAATATATTGACGTAAGAAGATATGTTAATTTATGACAAAATATAGAAATTATAATAATTATATGTATGATTATATAATAATATTTTATAATTCACTCATAACTCACTTTTATCTTAACCTTTAATACAACACAGACAAAGAACTTTCCTTATTATGAACATTAAAATAAAGTCATATTTGTAAAATTTAAGTCTTGTTATCCATAAATACTTGAGTCATTCATACTGTCAAAATTTCTTAATATATGCGTACAAATAATATGTGGTAGTATATAAGGTAGTATACAATAATAGTGTATAATTGTTATACATAATAGCAGTGCATAATGGTAGTATATAATGGCTTATCGGTATACAATTTTATACATTACATTTTTTTGAAGTACTCTGGTTGAAAAGGACACAGTATATCGTTGTCCATCAAAATCTATATTACTTTAAAGTACTAAAATCCTCATATATGGAAGTAGAACTGTATAAGTACTACAAAATTAGTACGTACATACATACGTACGTGAATATCAATATGAAGCGCAATTTAAAGGATTTTCCTCATTGTACTGCCTTCTGCTGTCCTGTTCTGCTGTGTGCATCAGTTTAATGCAAAATTTACGCATGTGCACATTTCCAGTAAGCGCATTAAAATTTAGTGAACCATAATATAACATCCAATTAGGACTTAAATTGATACTTTGTGAAACTTAAAGTGAGTTTCACTGCAATTCTAACACCATTCTTTTTCTTTTCGCGTTAGCATTTTTTAAAAATAAAATTTGTTCAATATTTCGGCATTTAATGAAATAGGATTTGTTAAAGTCATCTATGTATTCTATATCTACTATTTGATTTTCAATCAATGATGGTAAATAACAAATAACTGGTCATTGGGTCATTTCGAGGTCTAAATGACTCAGTCGCCATTTTAAATATTATTTATCCCCAAACGAAACGAGGAATAAATGAATTATTATCTCGGTTTATTTCTCAACTAGCGATGCAGTAAGAATTGTTTCAATAAGTGTCGTAACTTGCCAAAACTATAGGTAATATAGTAAGTTACAGCATTATTATAGTAATGCCGTAACTTACTATTTAGTTACGGAAAATTACGGCAAGTCGCGACATTCATCATTATTCCAAACTGAGCTTAAAATTAACACATAAATACCTAAAGAAAAATAATTAGTAAACGGGGATAACATGTCAATTTATATTCTTATATAGAGATGGGACGTATGAAACCCAACTCTATTTTTATACCTTTGAAACAATTAGAATTGATCACTAGATATAAATTAACTTTTTACAAAAATGTAATCAGCAATAATACAGCCAAGCCTCAGTTATATTTCAACTATATTCCGCATCATTTAGTGGAATAAATATCCTATATTTATTAAATATTGCCTCAGTTATATCTCTACCTAAGTTATAAATCCAAAAACTCTCTGGACAAAAGGGGGATATAACTGAGGTTTGACTGTAGCTATATATAAAAATCAAACTATTATTATGTTAATCGATAATTGTGCTTCGAATAAAGCTGTTAGGAATAACAAATTGTATTTAACCAGCAACTTACTATAATTCTAGGAAACGGGAACCTTTGAGGTCCGGAGCCTATATACTTAAAAAATATATTTAATTTTACAGTATATTCTATAAGAAATGTTTATTCATTCACTCTAAAGTAAATATTCAATTGTGATATATATGATTATACAGTACAGGATAATATCGTAGTTTTACTAATTTTAGTCAAGTAAGTTATACAGTATGTTTTCTTACAGGGGTATCACAAGTCTGGAAAACTTCTGTCTGATCTGAATTTTATTGCAGGGCATCCGTCACAGGTCTGGAAAGTAAAGTCCTACACTCCGCTCTGGACAATAAACTTACTATTCGGCAGAAATTAAATAGTGTTACTATTGTTTGGGAGAGCTTTAGTAACTATTTCGTCCAATTTAACTCCAATAGTGAACTGAAATAAAAAGTTATTACGAATAGAGTAATATAGTACTATCGGTAGGGGTGGCTTGTTCACGTGGATCGGTAATTTATCAGGGTCGGTTAACTAATGCTGGATCGGGTTATCTTATGTAATAAATTTAATTAATCGAATCGATTTAGCGACATAACTGATGTAATTAATAAAGGGGCACTTAATTAATAATTTAAGTATAACGATTACGATACTTTGAAGTAATAAGGAATTTGACGGATTTTTCAATACAAGGGTTATTAAACAGTTTTTTTTTTTATTAAGTATAACAACAAATTTATTCAAACACTTGAGAAATCAATTCTTCTATTCTACCATTTAAGACATCGAAGACTAACAACTTTATTTAAAGGCTCGAAGGCCCTGCTTTTATACTTAACGAAGTATTAAGAGGTACGATAATCGAACTTTTTGATCTTTGAAACTAGTAGTTTCACTCACTAACACTATCGCTACTTATTTTCAGTGATCCATGGTTTTGACTCTAAAGACTATTACAGGACCTGGGTACGATTATATTAATTCGGTTACGATCTTCGATTTACATATTTAGAAAATTCTATTTTACAAATAAGTTTCACACAGCCCGATGCAATTGTCATCATCACACCTTCCTCACGTTACCACCGTAACAATAGTTACCGAAACTATACAAAATTGTTATGAGCAAGCACTCGTCGTAAGTTGCCGGATATATGCAAAATAACCTAAATTGTCTTAATAACCTATTTGAATTTCATCTTTGTAATCACTATTATTGATAGTAGTAAAAGGAAATATGCGTTTCCTTTAAAAGGTAGCAATTTTTAACGTTGATAATTTCATTAATAATTTTACATACATCTATTTATGAAAATGATATGTTTAAATCAATTTTAGTAAGAATAATAAAAAAAAACCATAATTTTACATACAATTGCCACTTCTTTTTAGACAAATTTATTTTTTTACTACGTAATAGTTTTCCCACATTTTCTGATAGGGGATGAATCCGTCGGTCCGATATTTTTTTATATACTGGCATAGTTTCTTTGTGATTATACTTACCGTTTCGAATGACATCTCGGATAGGTTAGTAGATAATACAGTGCTATTAATCCCCTGATGACTATTCATAATCCGCTCTAAACGGATTTTCAATATTTGCTAATCGGAATCTTCTAATTTTTTAATTTCCCACATAACCATATGGTCACACCTTTTTGAAAAATACCGTATTTGAATTAATGGAAATTTAATTTCCAGTAAGTTATATTACTATTATTACAAATTTGGCAAATTAATTTTTTTTTTGGTTCGTATATAGAAAAAAAAGTTTTAGCCGAAAATTGAGATCATCAAGGTTTGTAACCTAGTTGGTATTAAAGTGATGATCATACACATAATCGATTGTGATTGTGACGACGCTTCTATTATATTTAGGAGTGTCAAACGATTCAAAATTGAGTTATAATCAATTATTTTAAGGACTCAACTTCAAAAAAAAACTGGTAAAGTAATAATATCGCATACCTAACTATACCACAAGCACGATTAATCGGATATATGATAATCATCACTTTAACGATCCAGGCCACAAACAATGTGATTTTCAAAAAAAAAAAAAAAAGAACTGCTTTTTAATTTTAATGTTACATGTAACCTTGTCCCTGAGAAGATCACGGTTCGAAATCATGTGCGATATTCATGATTACGTTGCATCTAAAGTAGCGCCGGGCTAAAATTAAGCCTCTGAAATTAGATCTTCACGCATGCATTAGGTTATGGTTTTAGTCAGGGCGTTACTCTAGATACGTATATAAAGTGGCTACTTTAGATAAATGACTTTTTCAGATGCGGCAATTATAACGATGATCGTCGATCATTACTGCAGATAATTTAATATTAGTGGCGTAGAATTTGAAATCTGGAATTTCATATTTAGTTATCTATTTAGTTACTTATTTATGTGAGTCAATAAAGGAATTTTAGTATGAAACCAAAATTATTGCATACGTAATGATATAAATTTATGGATAGGGAACATAGAACTAAATAACCCTTTTCCCTATGCACGTGATGAACGTAACTCATTTTTACTAGTACATTCTACCCTCGTTATAATGTGATGTGATGGGCAATGCACATGACATGCGCATAATCGTGCCCATAATCATGTGCATGGTTTTTATATATATCTTAATGCCAAGAAGCTAAGATGAATATTCCGAAAACAATAAGCAATTCCGAAAAATTCCCATGCTTATGAAATTTGAAAAAATAAGGATTTGCACATCACTAGTAGTGATACGGCCGATGAAAAATCTCGGGTCAGGGCCGGCCCGTATCACTATGTGGGTAGGCTGGAAAATTCTATCCGTAATGAATATCTGCTACAATATTAATATGTAAAGAATATGTTATAAGGCAAATCGAAACATTAATTCATCTGTTAAAATATACTCTCTTTTATATAAAGTTAGGCTATCCGAGCTTTTAAAAGGCACCCCTTGGCCTACACTATGCCAACTCTGGCCCACTTTACAATAATTCGGCCTGCACAATTTCGGAGTAATGTAGTATAGATCATATGGTATCATATGATTTACAAACTTACATAATTGCAATTGTTGTGTGACCAAAGAAAATCATATGGAGATCCATGAAACCTTAGTTATATGCTAAATTTTTTGTCAAGTTGATATTTATAAACAAACTTGTTTAGATTACATATTATGATAATCGGTTATGTTAAAATCCATTGTACATGTAAACTACTCTATTACCGGTATAATCAAAAATTAAACTTGTTGATTGGCTAAAAAATTAGTGAATGCTAGAATGTGATTAAAATAATGAAATTAATGTGCTATAATCATACATTCACTGGAAATTTTTTGGTTAAAAAAAAAAGTTAATTACCTAAAATAACGGCACTTTCAATTCTTTCAATTTCCGACGTTTAGAGGTCCGAAGTGCAATGACAATCATGTTTGTTGATCTGTTTCCGTGTAACATACGCTTAAATATAACGTAATCATTATAATACGGGACCGATCTGATGATTAAAATGACCAACTGATTTGGATCAAAAAGCGTTATTCGATCGAATATCTTATGAGAAAAGTTTTATATATTCATTTAGGAATATCATTTTACTGAATTGGTTCTTCATTCTATGAAAATTTCCACTTAAATGTTTTTTTTTAAAAAATTCTTAGAATTTTTTCCTCCTACTTTTTTTATAACTTCCATATGCGGAATGTGAAATACTACATTACTATCTTTATATTTGATCTTCAAAACTCAGGTACTATCTTCGGTCAACGACGATTAATGAAAAACATTACATTTTTACTTCTAAAAATGTATTCACTATTCTAATAATTTCATATGATATTTTTTTCTATAGTTTCATGTGATGTTTATTTATCTTTAAATTTTATTACATAAAGATTAACTTAAAATAGATTCCTTTACAAATCAGGTGTTTGAAATGATCAACGAGCATTTAAAATCTTCAAATTCTCTGTTACTAATAATATTTTATTACATAAAGATTAACTTAAAATGGATTCCTTTAAATCAGGTGTTTGGATGATCGATAAACCTCTACCAGCATTTAAAAGCTTCAAAATTCTCTGTTATCGATAATATTTCTTCACTATCATATTCTCATTTCATCAATAACAACTACCCCTAATGGCTCCAGGTGTTCCCGGTATTCCTGCAAAACTTGATACTCCAAGAGAACCTTCTCATAGACCTTCAAAAGATTCTTTTGTAAGATATACTGCAACTCCAAGACAACTTAAAAGATATAATAGTATTGAGAAATTTGATGTTCCTGAAAAAGCTGAATTTTTAAGAGAATTCTCTCATAAATATGGTTATAATGGTAAAATTGATTCTATACGTGAAAATGAATACCCTCATTTAAAGGACGCTGTTTACCTTGATCATACTGGTACTACTACTTATCCTAAAAGTGCCATTGACTCTTTTGCTGATGATCTTAAAAGTAATCTTTTCGGTAACCCTCATTCTGAGAATCCAAGTTCTCAACTTTCTACTGATAGAACTGAACAAGTTAGACTTCGTGTCTTAAATCATTTTAATGCAAATCCTCGTGATTATCAAGTTGTATTCACTCAAAATTGTACTGCCGCAATTAAATTAGTCGGTGAAATCTTTCCTTGGACTTATAGTAAAAGTTCTTTTAGATATATGAGAGAAGGTCATAATAGTTTAATAGGTTTAAGACGTTATGCTGAAGAAAATAATTCTTCTGATGTAAAAGTCGTAACCGAGAAAGACCTGGAGTCCATGTTTAAAGCTTACCCTGAACATAGAAACATTAATTTACCACCTGAAAATAATAACAGTATCGTATATGGTCTTTTTGCTTATCCTGCTCAATGTAATTATTCCGGAAAAAGATTTCCACTTTCATGGATAAGAAAGATCAAATCTTTCGATACTGATAAATCAAAAGTTTTAGTTTTATTGGATGCTGCTGCTTATGTATCATGTTCACCACTATCATTAGATAATTTGGATGACTCTCCTGACTTTGTTGCTTTCAGTTTTTACAAAATATTTGGCTTCCCCACTGGATTGGGTGCTTTAATAGTAAAAAGTGAGTTAGCTTCAATACTAAGAAAACGATATTTTGGTGGTGGTTCAAGTATGTTATTTATTATTATTATTTACTTTATACTATATATCTATTTACATTGAATATTAATTTAATTTATTATTATTTTAATAGTTAGAGCTGTTGCTTATGATCGATCATGGCAAATGTTCCGAAAGGATCTTAGTGGTCGTTATGAAGATGGTACAATTAACTTTTTGGATATTATAGCCCTTGATCATTCATTTAATGCAATGGAAAAATTATATACAAACTTTGCTTTCATTAAGGATCATTTGACTTCACTTAGTACTTTCCTTTATAGAAAAATGACTTCATTACGTCACGCAAATGGTACTTCTTTGATCACTTTGTACACTGATAATGACTATTCAGATTCTACACTTCAAGGCCCTATTTTTAATTTTAATGTAAAACGTGCTGATGGTACTTGGATTGGGTATCGTGATATAGAAAAGGCTGCAGGTGAACGTGGTATTCATGTAAGAACTGGTGGTTTTTGTAATCCTGGTAGTACTTCGAAATGGGTAAAACTTAACCCTGATTTTGTCATGGAGAACTTTATGGTAATTTTTCTCATATTATTCAATATTCTTTTTTTTTTAATAATCATATCATTAATATTAACCTTATTGATTATTATTAAATTTTTTTTTTTTTGCGTTTTATTATGATATTAAAGGAAGGAAAATATTGTGGTGACGAAAATGATATTTACAAGGGAAAACTCCAAGGTTCAATGCGTATCTCATTAGGTGCTATGACAACTATTGATGACGTTCTTAAATGGTTATCATTCCTTAGAGAATATATTGATACGACAACCCCTTTATCACAAAAAACTTCATCACAAGTGCCATCTAAAAGTAACTCTCGTTTATCACAAAAAGTAGAAATGAGTATAACACATCCAAATATGGTTGTAGAAAAAGTAACTTATACACGGGATCTTGCTCCAAAACAAATGGAATAAGTCTTGTTATCTTAATTTGGTTTAAATAATAATAATATTTAATTCATGCTTTAATTATCAATAATGTTTATTATTAAAAATTTCATTACATAAAATAATTTTACAATGCGATTTACAATACAAGTATGTTTTTTTTGTTTATATTGAAATTTTATTATATAATTTAAATGTGTCTTGGTAAATATTAAAAGATAAGATACAGTAATTTGCTGGTTAAGAAAAATATAAATAGTTTAATTTACTTAATGGTAATAGGATTTTATATTTGGTTGATTTACCATTTATCATTAAAATGTTCTATGTAATAAATGAGTGCTGCAAAATGAAAGTCTGTAAGTAGAAATGTCACCGACAGTCTTTGGACAAAATTTAGACATATTGGACATTTTTAGGCAATAAAATTATTCAAAAATTTTATTAAGATAATATATTTAAACCATCTAAATAAAGATTGTCATTAAATAAATCATTTACTCAATAAAGCTTAGATGAGCATTGAACAACTTGGATGTTTGGCAAAAATGATAGTGGGTAATGAACATCAAAAAACGTACATCCCTGCCTGTAAGTGTCCAGTATTCATTATACCAGAATTAACCTATAAATAATTTTGATATTATATATTAGAAATCAGTTTCTGGTAGTTTAGTTACATAATAACACTAGTCTTCGACCCGTGCTTCCGGCACAGAAAATATTTTTTTAATTTATATGCAGGCATTAGATCCGGCCAATAAAATAGTTTGACAAAGTAAACAGACAACTATCATTAAAATCTTATTAGTGCAAATGTTGTATCTAAATAGATAAAAAAAACATTTATCATTGAACTCATGAATTAACTATTTTATTTTCTTATTCATTATTCATTATTAAAACTAAAGCAATCAGAGAATGCAGCAGTATTGGGGCTAGGTCCTAAGTATTTTAGATGTTAGGTTATGTAATTATTTAATTTATAAATAAAAAAGGTTTTATCATTTTGCGCATATGCGTTGTAACGCACTCATAAGATCAGGGTAAAGGCCAGTGTTAAGATAGGCAGGATTAAGTAATAGTGAAAATGATTTTTATATCAAAATTTTACAAAGAATTTTTTTAATTAGAACGCGAAAGGGGTTTCATAAGCAAAATTTTGAACTACAAGCGATTTTTAGAAAAATTAGTATCTTCTTTCAATTTTACATACACCTGATCTGATTGGTTAATCAGGTGGATGCGTTACAATGCATATGCATTAAATTACATAAATTATAAAAAATTTAGATTAAAAATAATATAATATTTAATTTATAGTTTTTTAGTTCTCAGGTTTAGGTGATGTTTCAGGGTTAGGTCCTAAGTATTTTAAATCTTAGATTTATAATTTTCTAGCTCTCAGGCCTGAGTAATGCTTCAGAGTTAGGTCCTAAGTGTTTTAAATATTAGATTCATTAGTTATTTAAATTTTAGATTTTTTGTTATTTAATATTAGTTTAATTTATAGTTTTCTAGCTATCAGGTCTAGATAATGCTTCAAGGCTAGGTTTTAAGTATTTTGGATCTTAGTTCCAAATGTTGTTTCAAATAGAATTTTAAAATTTAGTATAATTAAGTAAAATTTAGTAAAATTTAGAATATTTTCTTTAAATTTAATAAATGCAAAATAATATTTTTTTTTTTTTTTTTTTTTTTTTTTTTTTTTTTTTTAAGAGTGAGGCCTGGCCTCGGTCTTTATTGAACAATTTGGTATTACATTAATGAAAATGAGTTACAAAAATTATTA